TGAAGACATATATTATAAATTAAAAATTACAATTTAAAATTTTATATTAGTACAGGGGAATAATATAAAATGATGAGAATGTATGTATTTTTTATATAGGTTAATGAAGTGTAAAAATTTAAAAAAAAAAAATTACAGTTATCCGTGTTTTTCAAGACATGTGGTGTAGACGGATTTTGAACAGTGTATTTTATATTCCTTTTCTTCGATCTCTTATTATCCAAATATAATTTTCTATGTCTTCTGTTCTCTCTTGCTTGCAAGTAGTACATATTATTGTTTGTTTCTGCATAAAGAATAAAAGTATATGATATAAAATGTACAAGAGTGTAAATAGTTGTGTTTGCTATCAAAATTAAAATCATAAATGATTGAAATTTGGTTAACATTTAATTTTTGAAAATAATATATAATCAATAATAATAATAATGAAGAGAGAAATGTACCTTTCAAACTGTTGGTAACAAATATTACATTTGATGAATCTTCCGTTGTCGGTGAAGCAGGCAACTTATTTTCTTTTTCGTATTATGTTAATACATATTAGTGTTGGAATAATACATGTTATTGTTTGATTATGAACTTGATTCAACGTGATATTATATTTATTTAAGTATGAATTTAACAATATATATTAAAAATATGTAGAAGTTATAAAAAATTTTATTTATATAATATGAAAATAAGTTATGCAATATTTTTATGTTATTAAAAGATTTCTTTAGAGCAAAAAAAATCTGTAAGAAAAATTAACTTTTTTTTTTTTTTTGTGAAATACAGAATACATACCATTGTAAGCTGAAGTAATAGACTTTGTAGCGGTTGAAGTTTGATGGATCGATGTAGTAGACAAATTAATGTTATTTCTATTATCTAAATAAAAACAATTTAATTTTCTACTCTTTTTAGAATTAAACGACTTCATGATATGTTTGCAATCTGAAAAAATAAGAACAATTATTTTATAAAAAAAGATGATATGCAATAAAAATTATGAAATTTAAGTGCAATTTGTTTTATATAATTATATAAGTCGGTCAATTCTTGTAATATGATTGCATTTAAATATTTTTTATTTTTTTTATATACCTTAATATACAAATTATATTTATTGAATATTTATACACCATTGATAAAAGAAAATATGAACAAATAATATTTATATTAAAAAGAATTAATAGTTGTATGATATGAACACAACACCATAAATATATGTTTTTGTATTATTAAATTAGAAAATATTAAGTTTTCTTAGAGTTATTAGAGTACATGATAAGGAATGAACATAAAATAAATATTAGTATTGGTCTATTGTATCTACAATTTAATCTAATGAAATTCAAAATATTAAGATGAGCAATAAAATTTATACAACACTTCTAATAAAATAATAAAAGTTATCTTGCTTTTAACTTTTGCAAACATATGTTGTGTTTGGTAGTCAATTTCATTGGATGCATTAATTTTCGATTATTATTAGTATTATTTAAATACAAAAAAACTATATTGTATAAAATAAATGTGTCACCAAATGTTTTACTATAGTCAAGATAAAAGATAAAAATTAAAACTAACTTTTTTTTATTACAGTTTAAAGTTTTATATGTGAGTAATAGTTGTCGATAGTCATGATAAGAAAATTTTAGTGTGACTATAAAATTTTTTTGGTCACATTTTAAATTCTTATGTGTTAAATATAAACAATATTCTTGATAACCAATTATGCATGTAACTAAAATTAATTTATGAATATAGTATAATTATATATATATATATATATATATATATATATATATATATATATATATATATATATATATATATATATATATATATATATATATATATATAAAAGTAGCAATAAGTATCATAAAATATGAGTATAAATATTTTGTAATCAAGATTTAATGTCTTATTTGCGGTTATTTTAAACAATAATCACTATAAATAGTAAAACATCTTATTAGACTTATTTTATGGTAGTAAATAAAACGTAAATAACTTTTTTTTAATGATTCTCAAGGTAATATAATAGACATCTGTCAATTAATATGAAACAGGGACCATTTACGTAAATTTACTTAATGATGAAGTATAATCTGGAGTTTTGTTTAGTTAGAAGATAAACCATGGTTTTTTGAAATTACTCATCAAGGTTTAGATATCTGTCTGAAAGACAAAGACAGACAACAATCGCACTTCTCTCTGTAGATAGAAATCAAGAACGGAAACAAATAGGTGGGTTAAAGCTTATTCATTTATTTATGTCGATCTATTAAACTCACAAGGTCACAGATCTGTTAAGGTCAGAAAAATTGGGACCGGTGACGAACGTATTCTACAAATCGAGTTCTTAGTTCACTGAAAGTTTCGATTTTTAAACAGTAAAGAATTGCTTACCTGTAGTAGGGAATTGGAGAGTACAACATGAATCAAGGATGCAAAAACGGAACTGCGATCATCAAAGCAAAGAGGATTCAGAGGAAACGACCTAAAATAAGGTTAGGGTTTTATAATCTTTTAATTTAGGTTTGAACTTTTGTTTTTGAAATGTTGTGGAGGGAACATAATCTGTTTTAAAATTTTGAAAGTATTAAAAAAATTGTTGTTAATCATGCTTGAATTTCGGTAAAAATGATAAAAATGGATTGTTTATTTCGTATTTCTTCTCCGCTATGACAACGTGAAATGAAAATATTATGAAAATCACACGCTTAGTTGAAGCCTTAAAATGGGAGCATTCACAGTAGTAGTGGTTAGATACCCATAAAGTATTTGATACAAATAGTAACTCCTATTCATAACTTGAATTCATTGCTATGACTATAATATATGATGTATAATATATGATGTAATGTGAAATGCACATGATGTAATACACATAACATTTGGTAGTGATTTTTTTCTTTGATTCCTTTTACTTTACCGACTTTATACTTTTCAAGTCGTTATATATATATATATATATATATATATATATATATATATATATATATATATATATATATATATATATATATATATATATATATATAGTTTTAATAAATTATGTGTTAGTGCAATTTGGTAAAATTGATGGATTTTATTTTGGGGTAAATGGCAGTAAGATCTAATCAGATCTAATCAGTAAAACTAAAATTTGTCAATGGAATATTATAGTTTGTTTGGAAAGAGAAATTTGACAGATTGCAAGGATTCAGTTGAAACCTTGATGGATGTTCAACGTTCATAGAAAAAAAAAGTGAATTTAATTTACAAATTTATAGATTAGGTTGCAAAAAGAGCCCTTATACCCTTTATTAACCGACTATTTACGATTTCTATATGAAAACTACACCAAAAAAACAAACCATTTGTGTATATGAGATGTGTTCCAAAGACAAGTTTATTTTGTTAACATCAACTGTTAATATGTCACTAAAAGGCATAGTATCACAAGGGTATTTTCATCATCATTTTGGTACATAACATTTAGTTTGTTCTTTATATTTGTAAAAAACTAACTATTTGCAATATATGATTAATGAGTACATTATACGTGTTTCAATGATGTTTCACTTTGCTACCCCCATGGAGATATTTGTAATTTACTCAATATTTTGTAAAGCAAGATGCTTTAGTAGAAAATAATTATAAGTACGATGTTATAATAAAAAATAAAAAAAAGAAGGTTGCTCCAAACCACTTCTAATTACTATTTTTTTCTTATTACAACAATGTAATTTTGATATTATAGTTCATATTTTAAAAATTAGAAGTCGTGGTTATTCTATGGACATGGGTAAAAGGGTCCTTTTTCTAGTTTGATGAACCATGATTGGTGGAAAAAGAAGGAACGGTTAAAAGATCTTAAGTGAGAGGATTTCTGCTGTGAATATTTGATTAGTAATTATGATTTCTAATTATGAATTATGTTTTTCTTTTACAACCGTGGTTTCAACGAGTTTAAAGCTAGTGTGAAATTATAAAAATCCAACACCAACATACAATTCATCCTTAATGAACTATCCAACACCAAAATGTGAAATTCTTTTTTACAGTTTAATTTGACAGATGGTTTGGTATATTGTTCATAATTGGCTCTCTATTTTGTTCAGAAGAAAGGATTTGTTTTTACACATGTTTTACATTTAAGACATAATTATATTGTGCTAACTTAATACTTAGAGACTGAAAATAATAACTATACATGCATAATGCAATTTAGTAGTAGTTAGCACATATATTATTTTGTTATTAGTAAAATTTCATATTATTTTCATTTTCTGAATTTAATGACAATTTTATATAATTTTTATTCATTAAATGGTAAATTCTCATACTATTTTGTTCAGAAGAAAGGATTTGTTTTTACATATGTTTTACATTTAAGACATAAATAAATGGTAATTTTACTGAAGTTTAAAATTTGTTGTTTACATTAAACTTGACATTTAAAATCAGCAAACAAAAAGAAATACAAACAGCAAAAAAGAAAGTACAATGCTATTTAACTGATGTTTATTGATATAAACACACATTGTTATTATGTGTTTAAGTTGATTAGGGGTAAATAAGTTAGTTAATTACAGAGATAGTGTAAATACAGAAGTACATTTAGGTAAAATAAAGTGGTATGTCAAATAAATTGATATGTAAAATGAAACATATAAGTAACTGCATAATTACACATATGAATGTAATTCTTCAAGATTTTGTGCGAATAAAGCAATGTAGTTTAAAATAAGTTGTAGGAAAAACAAAATAACATGGCAAACGAAATTATAGGACTACAAAAAAACCCAATGGTCCGAATGTACTTTCAAGAAACAAAAATGACAACCATGAAATCCCAAAAAAAACATTCAAAACCAAGAAAGATAAAAACGTAAACGGCTTAGGAGTCTATGATGCGACATCAAAATTAAACACGAAGTAAGATTGTTTGTCGAAGTAAAATGCATTTACTTTTCTTTCTTGGGTACCAAAAGAGGAGTTGGTTGTTCATCTGGTGGTGACAGTCAATGATTTTTAGAAGTAGACAAATTCTCCATTTCATCAATATCTATGCATGTAGCAGAGTTTCTTTTCAACTCAATTGGTGTAGAAATGAATTTTATAGGACTTGTTGCAGTTGACTTGTCCCTAGCACATGGAGTTAAATTTTCACCTGTCTGTGAAAAAGAATCCTAAAAAAATATTTAGTTAGTTGTTATAAATTAAAACAAAATATTTGAGAAATATATTTTAAAAACTGAAACCTTGAGAACTTTGGTGTTATGAGAACCAACATCTGAAGAACCAATCAAGAATGAATCAGAATTAGCAGGCTGCATCACAAGATGAAAACAAATGATATTGAGTTAGATATTGTTGGGTCAATGTGTTAAAAAACAAAATATAATTGTTGAAAAAAACCTGTGGAGTAAGATTATTTTTTTCCAATTCATCAATTATGTCTGCATTCTCGGTTAATCTTGATATCCCATAAATATTACTTTTATTATCGACATTGTAACGTGTGATATCAATCTTAATTGCCAACTTTCTGTCCAACACAACTTTCAACTCCATTGGATACAATTCCAAATTGTTGCCAAGCTAAAATGTAAATAAATATCATTAGAAAATTTGTATGTAAAATATATAATGCCAAGTTTTAGGCCAACACAATTGTAAACACCTTTTGAAAAAAATCCACACTGATGCATAGTTAAAATATAAAATAATACCTTCTTGTTTTTATCATACAACTCTTTAGCTGTGTATTTGAACAACTTCTTTGCTTCTTGGTCAAATAAAGTTAAAGTCAATGTTCCTGTGTTGTCTTGAACCCGAAGTGGGATTTTAAATCTAAATAAAGCATAAAATTATATTATATTAGACAATTATGATAAACATATATTATTATTATATAAAATTAATATCTAATACCTTGGAATAACCGAAATTTTGATATTTTTGCATTTAAGATTAGCACATTCATAAGTAACGATTTCGGCCACTTCATGAGAACCATCAACCTTATCAGTTGAAGACTCTTTTTCTTTTGCTGACTTTTTGCAGTTGCTACAAGCAAGGTAATACCAACGTATATTTTGACGTATTCCCTTAATAGTACCAACAATAATGACTGTCTTTTCCTGGATATTAAAATAATGCTCATTGTTAATAAATGTTATTTTGCGAAAGTGTATTTTAGTTTAGTTATAACAATATACTCTAAATATGAAAAAACATTTAAAATGTAAAAACATAAGTGCATTAAACTAACAATTTTAAAATTAATGTAAAGTACCTCCAAAGGTTCAAACAAGTCTTCAATGTTAGAAAACAAATGATTTTTCAAAAAGTCATCGTGTTCTGTGTCTTGTTTTGATGCAATCATTTTAATTCCAGTTGATGACAGTTGTTGTCCATTTTCAGAGACCAATCTGTTCATTTACAACAAAGAAATGACTTAAATTTATTATAGTATGAAATAAATAAATCTGATAATACAAAGGAAATTCTAAATGAAAATACTTGTTTTTGTAGATTGTAATTTCATCGATATCATTGTTTATGAAAACCCTACTAACATCAAAGTAGGTGGATGAAAAAGGACGACCTGCCAAAATAAATTTGATTATTCAATAATATATATATATATATATATATATATATATTAGATTATGCTTGTTAAAAATAGTTACAAACGATTAATAAACTTCACCCTGGCAAATTGAACAATAACAACAACTGGAGCAAGGCTGTTATTGTTAGCAAGAAAATTATGCATGTAGTATGCATTATGACCCCACAAAGTTATCTTAAGCTTAGTATCCCTGAAATAATAAACAAATATTGTAAATAATATAAATGAAGCTATATTACTTGTTTGTAATAATGGTGAATACTCTATATCTTGAAGATGCAAGAGCATCTTGTGTTTTGATTTATCTTGTGTCCAATAATATCTACAAAAAGCAAGGAAATATAATTTAATATAAAATATCAAATTGTAATACGAAGAAAGAATTTAGGATGTTATATAGCAAAAGTTAATATTAAATAAACTAACCAAAAGAGTTTGACTCCAGGATGTTGTTAGAAACGATAGTATTGAAGTCAACAAAATGAAAGCCATGTGCAGATCCAGAAAAGTTTTCACAATCTTTTACAATTGTATCGTGATAAAAATTTAGTTTTGATTCCGGATGAGCAAACTTAAATTTTGAAGTATTTGGTGCGACGTTAGGTTTCTTGACGTAAATTGAACTATCCTCTTTTAAATAGCGCTTGAATTTAGGAAACCATTTCTTCACACATGATGCATGAATTTTCCTTCCCTAAAATAAATGAAATAATAAATATTTAAATATAATTGCTTATGAGTATGAATAATTTTTTATAAAAATAATAATTGAATACATCCATCTTATACCTCCTCATCCATCAAAATCATTTCTATCGAGTATGTGTCGTTTGCATCAAATTTTGACTTTTGAGTCCAAAGACGTATGATCCGAACTTTAATTGTGAAATCGTCCTTGATTGAGTCAATTTCCTTTATAGGAGTAATATGTTCCATTGTACCTTGCAAGTTAAAAAAAAAAATAAAGTTTACATTAAATTAGACAATTATAATCAGCACACAGAAAAAAAACAATCAAACAGTTAAGAAGAAAGTACATTGGTATTTAATTGACACTTATAATCTGCAATGAAAATAAAAACAAAATTATATAAAAAAAAGCAAACATTCAAAAAGAAACAGTAAAAATACATACATCAACCAAAAAGGTAGTAGATTGCCATTTTATTTGATTTTGATGGATACAAAAATCCATTGTTATCATGTGTTTAAGTTAATTAGGGGTAAGTAAGGGGAAACAGTTAATTGAACTTTAAAATTTATTGTTTAGATTAAAAAAAATTCAAATAGCCAAAAAGAAAGTACATTGCCATTTAACTGAGTGGGAGGGACATTTTAGGCATTTCTAGCATATAAAAAGAAAACATATACTATGGACGTTTTAAATTTATTGTTTACATTGAATTTGAAATTTATAATCATGAACCAATAAAAAATTAAAAAAAATAAAAAAAATCAAACAGCCAAAAAGAAAGCACATTGCTATTTAACTGATATCCCAAAAATAAAACATATATTTGTTCTAATTACCTAACTATTGGTATTCTTTTAGTATTTGTGAGAAAACTGATTTTGATTATTATTAAAGTATTTGTGAGAAAACTGATGATTTTAAAACTTGCATAGAAGGTGCCTACATCTACTTTTCACATGATGTTAACATAACATTAAGATCATTTTTTTTATAAAAAATAACATGTATTTCCCTTTTTTTACACTAAGGAATCAATGTTTTTTTAGTTGTGAACATGATTCTACAATTTTTATCCTGTACACTAAAGAATTGATGTTTTTTTTTATTTGTTAACATATGTGTCAAAAACTTTTCTCTTATACATAACAGGGAAAAAACAATCAAACAGCCAAGAAGAAAGTACATTGCTATTTAATTGACACTTATAATCTGCAATGAAAATAAAAAAAAGTTATAATAAAAAAGCAAACAGTCAAAAAGAAACCGCAATTAAGTGGAAACAGTAAAAATACATACATCAACCAAAAAGGTAGTACGTTGCCATTTATTTGATTTTGATGGATAAAAAAATCCATTCTTATCATGTGTATAAGTTAATTAGGGTAAGTAAGGGGAAACAGTTATTTGAACTCTAAAATTTATTGTTTAGATTAAAATTTTTTTGCCAAAAAGAAAGTAAATTGTCATTTTACTAATAATGTATAAAGAAAACATATACTTGTTTTAATTAAAGAGTATATTAAAAGTGCGAGGGAAATTTTAGGCATTTATAGCATATAAAAAGAAAACATATACTATGGACGTTTAAAATTTATTGTTCACATTAAATTTGAAACTTATAATCATCAACCAATAAACAATTAAAAAAAATTTAAAAAAAAATCTAAACAGCCAAAAAGAAAGCACATTGCTATTTAACTGATATCACAAAAATAAAACATATATTTGTTCTAATTACCTACCTGTCTGTATTCTTAAAGTATTTGTGAGAAAACTGATTTTGATTATTATTAAAGTATTTGTGAGAAAACTGATGATTTTAAAACTTGAATAGAAAAACTGCTGACATCTACTTTTCACATGATGTTAACATAACATTAAGATCATTTTTTTTATAAAATATAACACGTGTTTCCCTTTTTTTACACTAAAGAATCAATGTTTTTTGTACTTGTGAACATGATTATGCGATTTTTATCTTTTACACTAAAGAATCGATGTTTTTTTACTTGTAAACATATGTATCAAAAACTTTTCTCTTATACATAACAGGGAAAAAAACAAAATATAAAACTGATGAAACAGAAAAGGTAAAGAACAGTGTAGTTTTGCTGACCTGATGATGAATATGTCACCTCTGAAATGTAACCTAACGATGAATATGTGATCTCTGAAATCGTATTGAATAAATCACGTTAACAGGAATCGTATTGACTTCTCAAGTTGTATTGAAATATATCATCTATGCGTAAACTGATTGCCTGATTTTTAGGGATTGACACTATATGGAATTTAAATTGATTAGCTGATAATGGAATTTAAATTGATTACCTGATTTTTTGGGATGGATATTGCATATTCGACAGAAATAAATTTTAAATTTCCTGATTTACTTCCTGATTTACATATTTACTTATTTACTTATTATTTACTTATTCATAATTCATGTTTGCTAATGTACAAAATGTTTTCGAACAGAAGGACAAAGTGGGAACTTCACTTATAATATATGAGCGGGAAAACGTAAGGTGGAGAGGCTAAGGGACTGCCAAGTGGCGTTTTCAGTACTGTTTTATTAGTAGAGAAGATATATATATATATATATATATATATATATATATATATATATATATATATATATATATATATATATATATAGGGTTAGGTTCATGTGTGACGGCCTAGTTTTGTGAGACCGTGATACACAATCCTAGTCACTCATTTAGTAGACAAAACAAAAACATTTTTAAAATGCAAAATAATTAAAAAATTTAGAAAAAAAATATCCAATATTATTTTCGGAATATATATTTTCCAAAAAAAAAATACCAAAAAAAAAAAATACATTTTTTACATATTTTAGCAGAATATTTAGAATATCCTACATATCTGGCAAATCTAGCAGAATATTCTAAACATTCTAAAAATCATATTAAAAAATGATGTACAGTGTAATATTCTATTAGAATATTTCACGTATTTTCCAAAAAAAATGTAAGTTTTTTTTAATTTTTTTTCTAAGTAAATAAAGTTCCGAAAATAATAATTAAAAAAGAATTTTTGGATTTTCTCTTTTATTTTTCATTTTAAAATTAATTTTAGATTTGGTTTCACGGTCTCACAAAATAAACATGGTTTCAAATGAAGCAGGACCTATATATATATATATATATATATATATATATATATATATATATATATATATCTTCCTATCTAATAAAAGAATAGTTTTATTCTACTTTTGACATGTGTCATCTTATTAGGCTTCCTAATTAATGCATATTTTATTCTCCTTTTGTCATATATCTCCATATTATATCTCCTAATTAATACATACCATTTGTAAACTTATTAATTATCCATTTCAAATTTCAAATTTTAAATTTACCACTCTAATTACATTAAATTAATAACATTAGAATAAAAATTAAAATAAACTTAATACAAATTATAAAATGATATAATTTCACATATTTATTTAAATCAATGATTAAAATTTATATCACTAAAAAAATCTCTTAATTAATAATTTATTTAAAATAATTGATTAATAATTTTTAGTTTTTATTTTAAGAGTTTTATTAATTGTATAACCGTGGTTCCCACGGGTTATAAACTAGTATATATATATATATATATATATATATATATATATATATATATATATATATATATATATATATATATATATATAGAGAGAGAGAGAGAGAGAGAGAGAGAAAGAGGTGGGTTCAATTGAGAAAATAAAAAAGGTTGAGAATGGGGGAATCATTCTCAGCCACTCATTTTATTCAAGCATAAAAGACACGGTGGTAAACTTGTAAATATGAGAACAACCTTCAATCTCAAATACGTATCTGTAGTTCAAACTCATTCATCGTTCATCATCCAAATTTCTTCTCCAACTTTCAACAATCATCCAAATTTCTTCAATTAAACCATCATCAACATCATCCAGTGCTAATCAATCATCGATCTTCGTCAATAATCAACACGATTCAACAGTTAACAACAAAAATTCGTTTTTGGTTCTTTTAATTCAACCTTCAATTGTGCTTGAATACAATCAGTTCTTCAACATCTATGATTAATAATACTCCCAGTGTTATTAGATCAACATCATCGATAATCAACAAAAATCCACTTCATATCATTCATTCAACATCGATTATCAAATAAAACTTGAAAATTGATGTTAGAAAAATATCAAATCGTTTTTTTTTGAAAAATTTCATATAATTCTCTATCAATCTACTCTTTTGTAAGATTTAAATAGTCAAAATATCAAGTTTTTAATATTTTTAAAAAAGTTCAATTGTATGCACTCCAACTGTTTGATGAAATACATGAACTAAATTACCACGTTATATTCATATATAAATATGTTTTCTCAGTAAATGATTATTAAAACAAAAAAACAAATATGCAAGTCTGTATGTTATTCATATGTGAATAACATATAAAAATTATATATATTTGTGAAAATACATTGTCTAAACACATGTCTATTCCGTTCTCATTTCTGCTGGTACGACGGAGGTTTTTGCAGCAAAAATAAATGAGTGGCTGAGATTGATTCCCCATTTTCAACATTTTTTTTTTCTTAATTGAACCTTCCTCTCTATCTCTCTCTCTCTCTCTCTCTCTATATATATATATATATATATATATATATATATATATATATATATATATATATATATATATATATATATATATATATATATCCACTTATTACGAAAAAAAACCAACGTACTAAATCAAATCTAATTTCACCCCTTTTTATTTCCTTAATATCAGTGGTGTGTACTAAATCTAATCTAATTTAACCCCTTTTTATTTCCTTAATATCAGTGGTGTGATCTAGCCAAAAAAAAAAAAAAAAAAAAAAAACCCTTCATTCCTTCCTTCTCTTTCCCTCCACCCCAAATTTTGTACATGTATAGACCATATTCCATACAGGTTTTTCAAAAGAAACAAGAAAAGAAATATATCAGCGTCAATGGCAGATCAAATAAGAAATTCATCTAGGAAAGAAATGCTAACATATTCATATCTTCTTATTTACATTGCCCTCTCTAGCGGTCAAATTTTCTTTAACAAGGTTTTCTCATCTCCATGAAGACATTTTTTTGTTACATTTAGATGTGATGTATATCTTGACATTAATTCGCTTGCTGTTTTCGATTGAATGTTGTTCCATTTGTTTTTTTGGTAATGTTGCAGAAAGAAGCATAGAATT